TCATCCAACTCTGCCTCCGCTACTGTGCTGCAAGTTAATGCTCGTGCATCCTGGTTATCTTTCAGTCCCCCCCCCCGCCTATTATAGTTTTTAGCTGACACTGGTACTTAGTTGTTAGCTCACACCGATTCCTCTAACGAACACTTTACGAGCACATGTGCCAGCCCGTCACTGTGTGACCGCGCATTGAGACAATAAGCTTTCAAACTAACTGGCTTTTAAGATTCACGACAGCCTGGCTGATTAAATAAAACACCGTGCGTGAGTGCCAACGAATACATGAATCACCGCCCTACGCTACTAGAGGAAGCCTGAGCTTCCCTCTCCGTTCCTCCCGCTCCCCTCCCCTGCTCTCTAACATTCGCTCCCCGTATATAACAACGTTACAATCATTGGCACGATGCCGCTCCTGAATATTGATGATGTTTTCGTTGCTTATGATGATCTGTGTTGGCGGTTGTACGTGCCCGGGGTCCGTGAATCTGCCCCGTTGTATTAGGATGTGCTGTTCCTGTGTGTCTGGTGGTATTAGGGTGTGCTACTCCTGTGTGCCTGGTGTTATTAGGGTGTGCTGTTCCTGTGTGTTTGGTGTTATTAGGGCGTGCTGTTCCTGCCTCCCTGAGGCTAATAGGGCGTGCTGCTACCACGTGTCTCGCGGTATTCGGGTGTTTGGGTCTTGCTTCACTAATGGCATTAGGGTGTGCTGTTCCTGTGTGCCTGACGGAATTTGGGTGTGCTACTCCTTTGTATCTGGCGGTATTATTAGGTTGTGCTGTTTCTATGTGTCTGGTAGTATTAGGGTGTGATACTCCTATGTGTGTGGCGGTATTAGGGTGCACGGCCGTCTAACGCGCGAGTCATCGTGCTGCGAGGTCCCTCGCCGCGACGCGCTCTCTAGAGTCTTGTCGGACGTGCGGGGGTCATCACGGAATTAATGCATGATTGCTGGGTAATGTGCGGCGGCGGTCGCGTAAAGCTTGCGTCATGTGTGACAGTGTCGCTAATGAACGAATAACGGGCGCGTTTCGTCGCGTTACGATGTCGTAATCTTAGTAATGCGCCGTGAAGCGATGTTGTTGTTGTTGTTATTTGTTGTTGTTGTTATTTGTGTTGTTGTTATTTGTTGTTGTTGTTGTTGTTATTTGTTGTTGTTGTTGTACGCGCCCTCAGGACGTTGTCGGATTGTGACGGTGCGTATCTGGTTCGGTGTACTGGGATCCGTTGCCGTTAGATGGTGCTTTGTTGGGACGTTTTGCCGTTAGATGGTACTTTGTTGGGATATTTTGCCTTCAGGTGGTGCTTTGTTGGGACGTGTTGCGGCTACCATCTACGTCGCTATGTGTCGTTGCTCACTCTTCCTTCTGATGCACGAGTTCTTCGTCTGCTAGTCCCGCCATAAACAGCACGCGCGTGCGAATTCCATTCTCGCAATGTTGGTGACGTCACGCTTAATGCGCACGAACCGAGTACGTCACTCGAGACGGGGTTTTTCTGAGAGGGGGGAGTGGCGAAATCTTCGCACGTTCCCGTTCGTGTTGTACCTTGAGTGGAAGCCGCGCGTGCCTGCCGTGTCTAAGCTATCCTCTCCATGTCTGTCTTAATAACGTGATCGAGTGTCGTGTGCATGGGATGGGGGGGGGGGTGATCGAGCGATCGTCCGCCCACACTCGCGATAACCAGGGTAGTTACACATAGAGCTATTCTGATTATACGGTGGGAGAAAACGCGCGATAGCCGCATGTGGGAGAACAAGGAATGACGCGCGATGGCTAGGGTAGTTACTAGAAGAGCGCGGATGAGTACGGTATTATGACAAGAAATGACGCGCAATAGCTAGGGTAGTTGCTAGAAGAGCGCGGATGAACAGGGTGGGAGAACAAGGAATAACGCGCGATAGCTAGGGTAGTTACGAGTAGAGCGCGGATGAACAGGGTGGGAGAACAAGGAATAACGGGCGATAGCTAGGGTAGTTACTAGTAGAGCGCGGATGAACAGGGTGGGAGAACAAGGAATAACGCGCGATAGCTAGGGTAGTTAATAGAAGAGCGCGGATGAACAGGGTAAGATGTAAGCACGTGATTGTAGCAGACGCGCGAGTGTGCGGACGTCATAACGATAACGTGACTTTGCGCGATTTCTCTCTCTAGATTTTAAACTTGGCGATATCGAAGGGGCAGCTCTCCCAGCCAGTGCAGTCGCGGCTATCGTGCTGTAAGATTCTGGGCAAGATTGCGACGAAATTCGAACCGTATTTGTAAGTATACCTCTCCGATCGTTCACTCGTTATTGGTGTGATTGTTTTTTGTTCTTAAACGTTTGTTACTTTTAATTATTCACTATTAATTATTAAGTTTGTGCCATGGATGTTATAATAATATTATATAATTCATTATGTAATTCAGTTAGTTGTGTTATTTTTTAGTTATTTGTATTTGTATTCAGTCGTTTGAACATGGATCTATACGGTATAAACAGATGTTTTAATTGTATTTCTCATACTTAATTGCGTACGTAATTGTGATTTTTCTGTCAAATTAAATACTTGATTTCTACTAAAAAAATTTAATAGATGTGTAAATGTCAACGCTTAGGTAAACTTAAGTGTCACTACCTCCCCTGCGTGACCAGCTGTTTTTCCTGTTACCTATTGCGCCTGAATTACAACAAAAAATATTGCGGGTGCAAGTCTTTCATGGTTTTCAAGTTGAGGATGAGATATTAATATATGCGGTAGAGCATACGCGGAAATCCCGTGTTAAAATTGTGAGTCATACGCGAATATCAAACAGATGCCGAACAAATATTTAAGTGTCAATATACGGAGTTCACCGTATTCGTGCAAACAAGCTCAATGTGTCATCGTGCTACGATAAAATCTGAATAACTGTCAATATCGGGAAGAGCTTTCTTTAATAACGCGAACACGTGCCTATTAAATCTTTTGTCTTTATTTTCCACTCGGTGATCTGCCAAGAAACGCCGCTTTTATTTGAGTGACAGATTTGAAGGTGACTTGTCTGTGTCAATAGCTTCACGCTACACTGCAATCTTATCCTTGTCTTTATACCTTCATATACTTATTTCTATACTCTATAGAATATTCTTCCTATTTCTCACCATTATTCATCTGTCTGTTGTGACATACATCTGTCCCTATCTCCTCATCTCCCTCCCTTACTTACTTCCCTTTCTCTCCCTCCTCCCTCTCTCCCACCCCCATTCTCCCCTTCCCCTCTGTCTTTGTCTCCCCATCTTTACCCATCTCTCACTTTCCTCTCTCTCCCTTCTCCCGCTCCCCCTACTCATCTTCCCATCTGTCTTTCTCTCCCCATCTCTTTTCGCTACCTCTCTTTCTTTCCCCCTCTCTCGCTCTCTCATTCTATCACATCTTTCTCATCCCCGTGTTTTCGTTTGCTGTCAGCATCATCATCGCATCGCATTCCCTCTTCGTCGGTTGTCGTCAACTTTTTTTCCTCACGTCGCGAACCTCTTCTCTCCGTTTCTGTCTCCGTCGCTAACAGACTTCTTCTTCTCGCGAATCGATACTAAGCTCGGCATTCTCCTCTCTCTCTCTCTCTCTCTCTCTCTCTCTATCATCTCCGTCATCTCCGTCATCGCTGCGGCGTCGTCATTGTAAACCGCGCCGAAGCTAAGCGAGGTTCGGCTGTCGTCGTGACGTCACGTGCTCGCAGTAAAACCCTCGGAGTTATGTGCAGTAGCGGGGAGCGCGCTAATGCACGCCCCGAGGTTGCGGGCGACTTTCGCGCGCGCGTGACGTAGGTGGCAGACGTTTCTCACGCACGCGCACGAGCACCCACGAACGCACGCTTAACAAAGGCCTGCAAGCTTTGCCATTGTACTATAGCACTCACGTCGGTTTCTTCTCCCGCGACGCTTGACGGACTCGGAGTCGAGCGCGGGGACTCGGCGTGACAGCTCTAATCGATAAATTCCCGCGTCTGTGCTAATTCGGCGACAATAATTAAAGCGAGCGCGAGAGTGCTACGGCGCATGCGCAGTCCCCCCTCGCGCGAATCCGGAGCAATTACGACCGACGCGCCTCCCGTGGGGATCGCTCCCGCACTCAAGGCGATACCTGACCGCTAAACATTTCCGGCTCGAAATAGCTCGGGGTGTCACGGGAAATGGGTGGCGGGTGGTTGGGGTAAGTTAAAATAGAGTAGGGGGAGGGGAGGGAGGAGGAAGCCTCGGGGGAGAGACTCGCTTCGACGCGTCGTCGTCGAAATTAAAAACGCGTTGCGTGATTGGGACGGATTCTCCCGCGGCGCGTGCGTCGTGACGGATGTGTCATGGCGGAACCGCATCGCGCATGCGTCGTAGCGCAGCCAGTAACGACGCGATACGTTCCTCGTTAAGCGGGGTTTCCTTTTGCGTCACCGCGCGTATATTTGCGGGGACAGATGGCAGTATAGGATCGTCTGTGATGCGAGCCAGCGAGAAGCCATTGTGTGTGCACGCATGAATGCTGGCTGGCAGGCGATACCTGCATTCGCAATTATTACGCAAAACGGAACTCAGCTGGGAATCAAGCGCGCGAACAAAGGCACACTGGGGCGAAAAAACCGCGTGTGTTTATTAATAAAATTCGTTCGTCACCGCAATTTCTTTCTCATGATTTATTCAATTCATAATAGAAAAGCACGCGCCCGCGAGAGAGAGAGAGTGTTGTCTGCTTATTTCATCGCTTATTAATCACGACAGTCGGATAAAGGGACCTATCTTTTTGTTCTCATCCTGCAATTAAATCTCGTACATAATAGCGATCACGAGGTCATTGTTATGGGGATAAATCAACGCTGTCGGCACTAAACGAAACACTGCTAACACTGTGTCGTTAGTCGCCCGTAATTTGACGCGACTGCTGCGTAGAATGAGGTACGAATCATAGCTGCGTAATTACTAAACGCAATTATATGTATTTCGTAAATGTATGTATTTCATTGTATGTGTTATTTTATGTATTTCGTAAATGTATGTATATTTCGTTCTATGTATATCATTGTATGTATATTTCGTTGTATGTGTTATTTTATGTATATCTTTCTGTATGTGTTTAAATGTATTTCCCTTGCAATTGTAATTAAACAGAATTAAGAAGGAGATTCTGCCCGTCGTGCAGTCGCTATGCCAGGACGTCGACTACGAGGTGAGAGGCTGCATGTGTCGGCAGCTGGACTCCGTCGCCAGAGGCATTGGGTATGTTAGAGCTTCTCTCTCTCGTTTTCTCCTTCTTTCTGTCTCTCTCTCTCTCTCTCTCTCTCTCTCTCTCTCTTGCTCTCTCCTTCTCAATGCTCTCTCTCTATCTTTATATCCACTGTCTATTTCTTTCTCTCTCTATATGCGTGTGTGCGTGTGTGCGTGTGCATGTGCGCGTGCGTGTGCGTGTGCGCGTGCGTGTGTGTGTGGTTGTGCGTGCGCATGTACGTGTGCGTGTGCGCGTGTGTGCGTGTCCACGTTGTCACCACGTGTGTCCAATATATATAGTCTCCACGTTGACACTGACGCTGTCGTTGCTGTTCGCGCGCCCAGGCTGGAGGCGACCAAGATCTCGATCCTGCCCGAACTCGTGGAGCTGGCCAACGACGAGGAGAGCTTCGTGCGGCTGGCCGGCCTCGAGGCGGTGGTCAGCCTGCTCAGTCTGCTGGACGATGGTGAGTGAGTGACCACTAACTTTCCTCCGGTCAGTGACTGTGACTGAGTGACCGCTAGCTCCCGCCGGTCAGTGCTGGTAATGCTGAGTTAATGTGAGGGGACTCTCACAGAGGGCGCTCTACTGAGAAAAGAGCCAGTGATGGGCTGCTTTGTCAAGATGAGGAGTCAACTATATTTAACTCTATTTTTCACGCCCCCTATTTTATTAACATTTCATGTTGCATCATTTTATATTTCATTATTAAATTTCTATTGGACCACCGGTTTCGCTACCCGCCACCATCAGTGTGTTCACTGTGTTGGGAGGAGCGCGGCGCGTGAACGCGCTACACCGATTGACAATCATGGAGATGGGTTTCAACGAGCAGTTTTAATCTGTTTCGTCGCGCAGAGAGCGTGGTGGTGGATAAGCGTGGCTGCGTCGACGTGTGAGAGATAGCATTACTGTGACGACGGCGCTTGAGTAAAGCGGGAGGGTGTTCTGTCGGCTGGGTGGTGCCAGTATAGTGTGTTATAGTGCGCCCCCTGCGTGGTGAAGGATCCCTAGGCGTGAGCGCAGTAACAGCACGTCTACCTGCGCACACGTATTGCCGAGATTCACCGGTTCTTCTCGTTTCGTGTACTGCACAATTAACAAAAGACGGATATAGCTTGTTTATTGTGTGAAGAGGTTGCTCCCTCCTCTCATATCATTGCCACTTTTTTCTTCTCTTATCTCGTCTCCTCTCCTTTCCTCTCCTCTCCTCTCCTCTCCTCTCCTCTCCTCTCCTCTCCTCTCATCTCCTCGCCTCTCCTCTCCTCTCCTCCCCTCTCCTCTCCTCTCCTCTCCTCTTCTCTCCTCTCCTCTCCTCTCCTCTCCTCTCCTCTCCTCTCCTCCCCGCTCCGCTCCTTCCCTCTCATCTCCTCCCCTCTCCGCTCCTCTCCGCTCCGCTCCTCTCCTCTCCTCCCCGCTCTGCTCCTCCCCTCTCATCTCCTCCCCTCTCCTCTCCTTTCCTCTCCTCTCATCTCCTTTCCTCTCCTCTCCTCTCCCTTCCTCTCCTTTCCTCTCTTCTCTTCTCCTCTCCTCTCTTCTCTCTTCTCCTCTGAGATCGTTAGTGACAACCATGTGTGTGTGTGGTGATGTTGCAGATACCTGTGTGCACATCATTATCCCGCTCGTGAGAAAGTTCTGTGAGATGGCGATGAAGGCGGAGGACCCGACGCTAGCTGTGGTTGCCAAGCAGCTAGGAAAGCTCTGTCACGGCCTGTCAGGTAAGGCAGCCACACCTGCGAGAGACACCCTTTGATATACGTGTATTGTAATATATATATTGCCGTGTGTGTGCTACACGTATACGGGCATATTGTATGGTAGAGAACTGCACCTGTGATGCATACCTGTCATACACGTGTATTGTATTATATATTGCCGTGTGTGCTACATATGTATAGGAATGATATAGAGCCACAGCTGTGATACACCTGTGATACACCTGTGATACACCTGTGATACACCTGTGATACACCTGTGATACACCTATGATACATATGTGCAGATTTTGTTTGATTTACATGGGCACATTCATGTCATACTGGTAAAGCTGCTGTAACATATAGAGTCGTATCTCTGGTACACAGGGTGCTACATAGTGCCTCTTAGGTAATCCCAAAGCCCCGCATAGGGGGCAGTACTGCCCATCTTAGGAACCGCTATTATTTTAGTTATATTATATAGTTTATATATAATTTATATTAGATATTAGATATATTATTTAGTTTATAGAACCATACGTGTGACGCATCAGTGCTATGCCCGGCAAACATATTCTCAGGTGCTCGTATTAAGATTCTATTAGCAGCTAGTATTTTAGTTTTAAGTTTAGTTTAAAGTTTAATTTATTAGTTAAGTTTATAGATTAAGTTTAGTTATTAGGGTTTAAGCTCGTATTAACAGTGACACTTGACTTCTTGCAGTGAACCTGAGTGCGGAGCAGCGGCAGTGGTTCCTCAACTACTACAGGCAGCTGTGCCAGCTCGGCCTGACATGCACAGACTCAGGCATTCAGGTGAAGCAGAGCCCAGACAAAGATCACAAGACGCAGGTATGCATGCATCCGCCCCGTCCCTCAGTGTGCGTGTGATTTACCGGTGTCGTAGACGAGATAAAATTCACATCACAAAGTTTAGGTAATATAGTTGGTTATGTAGTACAATGGGAGATGTGATATATTATATACGTGGTTGCAATGTTCGTGATGCGATGAGGAGCAGCTCTTGAGTTGTGTTGTTTTATGTCGCAGACTCCAGACTTGTCGCAGCTGTTTGAAGAGGCTGATATATATGCAGAGTGCAGGCTGTGTGCTGCATTCAACTTCCCCGTAAGTACTGCTCGTTAATATTATATGAGTTATTCTAGCTCTCTCACTCACTCTCTCTCGCTTTGTCTCTCCCCCTCGTTTATTCCCTTTCTCTCTCTCTCTCTCTCTCTCTCTCTCTCTCTCTCTCTCTCTCTCTCTCTCTCT